AAATTCCCAACCTTTTGGGTTAATTTCCAACCTTTTGCCCCCATTTCCCACCTTCTGCCCAATTCCAACCTTCGGCCCAATTCCAAACTCGGCCCAATTCCACCTTCCGGTTAATTCCAACCTCTGCCCCACTCCCACAGCTCCCACTGCTGCTCTCGCCCCACGCTTTCCTCTGTCTCGGTCACTGTGCTGCCTTTTGCTGCCCCTCTGCCCAGCCCGGAACAGCTCCGCTCCGCTTTCCTCCACGGGGCCTCCTCCGGCCGATGCCCCATTTGCTTCTCCACGTTCAGTCCCTGCTGCCGGGTATTCTCTTGCTCACAGGCCACTTCTGGCTAAATGATCTGCTCACCTTATAGATTCTAACGGTGACAGAACATCAGCTAGGATAAAGACTACAAGAGAGAGTCTGCAGAGAGGAATCCACTTGGGGGACGGTCCCCTGTTAGATGTCGCATCCAAACCATCCTGGATCTCAGCATGTGGACCAACTACACTTGAGCCAAAGCCCCGTGCCCCAAGGCACTCCTCATTGACGGTTACGCCACAGATTTGACTCTGCTCAAGGTATTTCACATTTGTGCCTTGACTCTCCTTGAACAGTGAATACGTCTCAATGGGGTGACGGATGCGTGCTGACTGCAGTGCTGGGAACTTACAGGGACTAAAAATGTAAGTGACCGTGAGATGGGAAAACATATTGTGCTTTATCGACTGACTTTCCATATCTGCACAAAGAAGCCCAGAACTCTGAATCACCTGCTTACTAGATATTGTGAATTATGGAGGGAGAGGGGCAAATCTTCCATGAAGATGAATCTCAGGTCCCAGACAGGGATTTGGATGGTCAGGTCTCTAACAGGCTGAACATTCACAAATAAATGTCTACAGTTTTAACAAAATAACAAACTCTTTCTGTAAAATCCCTAAGCAGGAGGGTCTGAAATTTTTTCTCTCTTGCTTTCTGTTCTTCCTCTGTTCTTCGGTCTTCTCTCTGGTCAAATCTCCATGTGTCCCCAGGGTGAGCAGTCTCACCCCAAAGCCTGGCCTACCATCCAGGAGGTCACAGCACACTGGGTCAGGCCACTGGAATGGAAGCCTCCTTCAGAAATTAAACCCAAACTGCGGTTTGTGCTGCTGCTGAAAGCAATGACCACCGACAACTAATGTCTGTGGCTCCGAGTTCTTTAAAACCACTGCCAGCCCCTCGCCTTCCACTCGAGCCCACCAATTACTCTTGTCTGGGAACTCACATTCTTAACTGCTTTTGCAAACATAAATGAAAGTACTCAAAACTAGCGGCTGAAAGGAGGTGAAAAATGATACGCTTCAAACTCATTCACAGGTCCAGAGGAGTTGAGCTTCCCATTTTAGGAAAATGTCTGTATATATGTAGATAATCCATATGTAGCAGATAATCCTTCAAGCCCCAAATGGGGTATGTGCATAAAAAGTCAAGTTGTGTGCCCAGTTTCCAAGTAAATGCCAGGTAGGTTGGCCAGGCTGAACAACAGGGCAGGCTCTCAGGCATGGCAGAGTTAAATAACTGCTATTGTCAACCGCACCACACCGTTGAAGTGTTAGGAGCCATCTCTCTCTCTTCTCTGCCAAACTCTAAAACCTGCCTTTGAAAGGCTGTGGGCACTGCATTCATAGAGCAGACAGGCGGCAGAGAAGGGCGGGAGAGGTTGTGTGTTTCTGTGGATCCGTTTTCAGGAAGATCTGAAACTCCAGACAGCAGTGTGCAAACACTGACATGTGCAAAACTGGGGGGAAAGAAGTCATCCTGTGTTGAAAAATCAAAGCCATTTTACAGCATACACACATCAAGGAGAGGGGATAGTCTTTAAATATATAGTTAGCCTTTTAGCCTCTCTCTGTGGAAAGCTCTGGACTGCTCAGAGCAACACTGAAATTTTATTGTTACAGTCAGAGTTTCCCCTGCTATCTCATTGTTCCCCAGCTCAGAGATGATTTTTCCACCTGGCCCCTTCCACGACCGCCCGGATGATGAAGGCGCAGCAAGCAGCTTGTCTCACCAGCAGTCTCCTCTCGTGGCTGAATCTCCAGGGGCACAGTCTTGTGAGGAAGCTCACCGCCATCTGGAATGCTAATGCCCGCTAGGCTGACACGTCTGGGAAACTCAGGCATTGGACCGAGGTGCTCAAGACAAGCCAAGGGCGCTGGTGGGTTGATCCCAATCAAAACTCATGGGGACAGAGCTGGTAGAACGACATACAGAAAACAACGTCGCTGTTAGGATGGCTGGCACACTGGGGACAGGGCAGTGGCCTCCCAGTCACACAGCCAGGCCTACCAGCTCCAGTGGTCAACCGCATGCTATATGTGTGTGTGCTGGACCAAGAGTGGGGCATTAGCCAATCCTGAGAGCTATGCAGGTTTCAGTTTGGACTTGTGATCCGGTGCCCGCCTTCCTGCAGGCCTTGAGTTTCCATCGGTAGAGACAGTTCCAGCAGAATGACTCTCCGGACCTCTTACCCTGTCCCCACCAGGAGGAGTCAATGACATGACTGGTCTAGATTTCTGGATTAGGTAGAGCTAATCTACTAAAGGACCTCGAATACTGGGAATTGGTCTTTTTTCCCATGCTCTCCACTTCAGACAAATGACAGCCTCTGCCTTTTCCGCAGACTTTAGCTCTCCCTTGGTCATGGCAGACCCAACCGGCAGACGTGTGAAGCAGGCAGTCCAATGGGTTTAGGAGAAATAAAGCTGACCTTCTCTTTCCTCCACCTGCTCCAATGTCTTAAACTCAGCAGGGGCCCTATGTGACCCCCTCAAGAGACCAAGTTCCCCTGCACTCCTGAGATGCCGTGGTAAGGTTTGATTTTCCTACTCTGGGCTGCAAAATGAATGCTGCAGCTGCAGCTTGAAGTCCACATTTGAGGCTAATGACAACAGGCCAGCTTGAATTTACGGGAGCGCAAGGTTAATACATTATGAGAATGTTCAGGTGACACAGGGAACATAAAGCGGAGTCAACTCCACCCAGGCAATCAGAGGGACCCTGTCTCTCACTCTGCGATTGCTGCTTTTCTCATTGTCTGCAGACTGCACAGTTCTGCTTCTCAGGCCCGAAGGACGAGACACGTGGCTGCCAAACGCACTCAGGCACCATGTCTGTCAGTTCCAAACACTGGAAAGGCATAGGTCTACTTCTCTTAAACCCACTACTCCTGGGTAAAAATTCTAACGGCCCCAGCCTGGGTCAGGTGCCCACACTCCTAGACAGAAAATCAACTGTAGAGGAAGGAGCGGGGCTCACCAGTTACAGAAGGGGTCAAGAGAAACAGCTGAGGCACAGCCAGACACTGGTGGGGGAAGGCACCCCCAGGGGAATGACTTTCCATGCTAGCTGACCCTTTACTGTCTGATCTTAACATTTTAAATACTGCCATGCTGCAATACTAGGATTTATGAGGGCTACTGATGAATAAAATATTCATTATTTATTGTTCAAACTAAAATACTTCTGGGGACCAGCGCCGTGGCGTGGCAGGCACCTGCGGTGCCAGAATCCCATATAGACACTGGTTTGAGTCCTGCTCCTCTTCCGATCCCGCTCTGAGCTATGGCCTGCGAAAACAGTGGAAGATGGCCCAAGTGCTTGGGCCTCTGCACCTGAGTGGGAGACCTGGAAGAAGCTCCTGACTCCTGGCTTCGGATTGGCATAGCTTCGGCCATTGTGGCCAACTGGGGAACGAACCAGCGGATGGAAGACCCCTATCTCTCTCTCTCTGCCTCTCCCTTCTCTAACTCTGACTTTCAAATAAATAAGTCTTAAAAAAAAAAAAAAAGACAATTCTGGATGTGAAAGTGGGTATGAGAAATAGTTTAAATAATTTAAAATATTCAACACTTATTGACTCATAAACTGGTTTCAAAATGTACCCTTTTTTTATTTATTTGAAAGGCAGAAAGACAGAGAGACATGCAGATAAAGATTTTCTATCTGTTAGTTCACTGCCCAAATGCCTGCAAAAACTAGGGTAGGGGAAGGCTGAAGACAGGAGCCAGGAACTCCATCTGGTTCCTCCAGGTTTGTGCAGAACCAACTACTTACTGCCCTCCAGGATGTGCACCAGGAAGAAGCAGGAACCAGGAGCAGAGCTGGGCCTGGAATCCCGGCACTCTAACATGGGAAGTGGGATTCCAACCAGAATCCAAATTACTATGCCAAATGCCACAGCTAGACTCAATGGATCCAGAAACTGTTTTCAAAATCAAAATTATTTTTAGAAAAACTTCTTTATTTTATGCACATTTTAAAGTAACATAAATAAAGGCTGGCATTGAGATGTAACGGGTTAAGCCCCTACCTGTGACGCTGGCATTGCACATGGACCATGGATGTCAGTTCTAGTCACTGCTCCATTTCCGATTAGCTCCCCACTAATGGCTTGGGAAAAGCAGAGGAAGATAGCCAAGTGCTTGGGCCCCTACTGCCCATGGGAGACCTAGAAGAAGCTCCAGACTGCTGGGTTTGCTCTGGCCCA